GATTTCAACGTGATTATTATCCAAAGTGATCTTGATTTGTTTTATATGTATCGGTTGATGGTTCTAGTGCAGTAGTGAAAGCGGTTACCAAATGCTTTATTTATGTGGTTATACTTCTCTGTACTTTAGAAAATGTAGTAAAAAGACATTTAAAAACAGAATTACTTTCTGTGATTTGGGATCTGTGTGTGTCATACTGTGAACTCCATGTTGTTTTGTGACCCAGTTTTGTTTCAGGGCTCTACTTTGCTCTGTAGCAGCCTTTGTGGATTAGAGCATCCATTTTGCAATAGGGACTTGACTCCTAGTAGAAAGCCTATGTCTGAGAAGTAGAGACAAAGCAATCAAGAGCCATCAATGTTGAATGACATTTTTCTATGGAAAAATGGGTCTTCTACTGGTAAGGCCATGGTCTTTGAAGGTCTCTCTACAGGAAGTTGATGTGGGGAGAGTAGGGGGTGGAACATGGAATTTCCTCAGTGGAAAGACACATGCACCAAGAGAGACAAAGGCTGTTATTAAAAGCTAGATGCTACTCTGAGCAAAGGGTTGGTCTCCTGCTGCATGCCAGAAGAAAAGGGCGGGAGGAAAGAAAGCAGGAAGGGCTCCCTAGCCTATGCACACTGACTTCAGACTCAAAGAAGTGGGGAGATCAGACTTAGAGGGACCACATTCAGAACTGTTTGTTATTTTCCAAAGATCTGAAACTCTTGTGCTGTTTAAGAGAAAAATGCCTGTGGTTAACAAATCCCTTTGCTAAGTTTGTCTTCCTTCCACATTGTCCCTGAAGGAGTTAATCAAGAAACCAGAGCTCCCACAGCCAAGTGGACTCTGGGGGAATGTCACTAAGCACTGGGGAGGTTAGGCGGGGGACACTGGTTCTAGGGTCTAAGGCAGCTGGACTCCAGAGTCTCATTGCCCAAGAAGAGTGTCAGACACGGGGTCTGCACTGGGTAGTGTGCCTGAGAGACCCAGAGTTAGGAACAGTGACCATTACCCATGACCTGGGGTTTAGAAGTACATGGGATTCTGTGGTTGGAGCCACATGCGCCAGACTAGTGTCTGTTCACAGAAGGGGTAGGTTGTGATGCAGTGGTATGAAAAACAAGCAAATCCTGAAATTCCACTTTTCCCACCAATGTCACAACCTGGGCCAACTCCCATCTCTGCACAAATACCAGTCTGTTGTGAGTGGATCCAACCACAGGATCCTATGTGCTTCCAAGTGCTTCTGGCATGCTGTCCTTCTGACTTGACTACCGTTATGGAGATAGGAGAGATGTACTCCAGAGTCAGTTCTTTTCCAATCCTGCCTGTTTCCTTTCCAGCTGGGCGGAGGAGGCCGAGTTGACCCCACCCAGCCTGGGCTGTGAGGAAAACTGGTCTCTGCACACAGAGCTGGCCAAGCTCCCCAACTAGACCCTCGATAAGAAGAGAGCAGGAGACACGAACCCTTCCTTTTGTCTCTCACTTTTCTTGGCCTAGCTCTCTCCCTGAAACCTGTGGGGGCCCTAGGGGTTCCAAACATCTCAGAAAGGGAATGGAGCTAAGAGGACAATCTCTCCCAGAATCAAACACAGCCCTGGGACACAACTGGGAATTTGATGGACGCATTATTGAGCTGCACTGTTAGTCTACAAACTTGAAATCAAGTTTGGAATTTCCTTCCAAAAAGCCCTGCAACAGGGCGTGTCTAGCTAGGGTGACCAGACGTCCCGATTTTATCGGGACTGTCCCGATATTTGCTTCTTTGTCCCGTGTCCCTACCAATGTTTGTGATGGGCCGGGGGGCGGGAGGCTCCGCGGGGAGGGCAGCACGCGCGGCCGGGGGCCTGCTAATGCCCCTGGCCCCTTTTAAACTCCCTTTTTTTTTTGCTCCCCCCCCCCCTTTTTTTTTTGCTCCCCCCCCACCCCCCGTCCTGATATTTTATACTGCTGATCTGGTCACCCTATCTCTAGCTGAGCCATCGGCCACAGGGGAGTGGAGGGAGGAAACTGGATGCAACTTCAGAGGGCAGGACATTCCCCTGTCACCAGTGACTGACAGGTCTGGTTCTGCCCCCAAGCTGCAAGCAGGCTGAAGTACCCATTGTAAAGGGCCTATAGACCTTAGCACTAACGAGAACATGCTAAATGTTTGCAGTTCTCATTTCAAAGTAAGACAGACAGTAACCCACTGGAATGGGTTACCTAGGAAGGTGGTGGAATCTCCATCTTTACAGGTTTTTAAGGCCTGGCTTGACAAAGATGATTTAGTTGGGGTTGGTCCTGCTGTGAGCAGGGGGTTGGACTAGATGACATCCTGAGGTCTCTTCCAACCCTAATATTCTATGATTCTAAGTAACCTGAATCCTTACCCAGGACATTTTACTAAGTAAACAACAACTACCACAACCATTTTATTAATATCTGTACAGATGGGGAAACTGAGGCATTGAACTTCAATGATGTGTTCACAAAACAGAATGGGAGTCCATCTCAGATTTGAGATTAGAATTTAGGAGTCCCTGGAGCGAGTCTTGTGCCCTGACATTTCTCATTTAGAAATTGCTGGATGAGAAAATCAGTTTCATTAGTTAATTTATAACACGATCAGCCTCCCTTTGAGTTTCAAATCTGTTCTGAAACTATGTCATCTATAGTACACCTCTACCCCGATATAACACGAATTCGGATATAACGCGGTAAAGCAGTGCTCCGGGGGGGCGGGGCTGCGCACTCCGGCAGATCAAAGCAAGTTTGATATAACGCGGTCTCACCTATAACACGGTAAGATTTTTTGGCTCCTGAGGAGAGCGTTATATCGGGGTAGAGGTGTACCTGATAGTCTATAGTATGAACAAGTAAGCAGTGTAGCTTTTATTTTCTGAAGCTGACATGGTTGTATTAAATCCACCAACTGACGTGCTGTGATCACCATTAAAAGAGTCATGAGGCCAGTGCTTCAGCTAGTGTGAATCAGCACAGTGACTATAGTTTTTCCTTAGACTTACAGTAAGAAAGAATAATGATCAACTGTTAGGAAATGCTGACTTTTTAATGGTGATCAGTTTGTCCATCACTGCAGACTTTTTTCAAATGTGCCCAATGCTGTGGTATTCAGCCCCTCTAGCTCTGAAAAACAGAGTGGGAATCACTTGCCTTCCAACCCTATTTACCTTTTAGCCGTCCCTCCATACCCCCCTCCTCAAAAAGATATTACATGAACTTGACAATTCCCTCCACAATCAAAAGTTCCCCATGGTTTCTAAGCAAGTTTAGCAGAAACATGAAAAAAGTATTTTATACTCTGCACAACTCAAAATGAAATGTCAACAACATCATGAGCAGCTACAAAAAACAGCTGGCTTTGAGAAGCACACTTGGAAATATTTTAAATGTGATCCAATAGGACAACACACCATTTTCAAAGTAGAACCTGTGAAAGTCCATCCCTTCCACCAGATTCCCCAAAGCTTCAGGTTCAAAAGATGTAAGGCCTGGATCACAGATCTTTCTGTGGAAGAGAAAATTGAACAGCGATGACAAACGTATAGTCAGTTTCAGATACAGCACAGGACTGCTTTCTTCTTGATATCTTTGAAACCAAAGGAATCCTCAAACTGGAATGTTCCATCCCTAATACATACAATTCACAGCATGAGGGAATTCAGACTAAGTCAGCGTTTCTCAAATGTGGCCACTGTGGCCTCAAGCGGCCACCAGGGGCTTTTCTTGCGGCCACAGCCTCCTGGGCTGTGATGGAGGGGGAGTGAGGGGGTGGGAAAAGTAGCTCTCTCTCCTCCTCCCTGTTGCTCCTGGATGCACCCCTTTGCTGCTGGTGCTGTGGCCACCAGCAGGGATTGGGCCCTGCCCCCCTCTGGAGTCACCTGGGGCACAACACTGTAGGAACAGGCAGCCATCGAGTTCCCCACTTTCCCTGGGGCGGTAGGGCTCAGGCTTTGGGCTTCAGCACTGGGGTGGCGGGGCGGCAGGCTCTGGACACTGGGCTTCGGGCTCCAGCCCCGGGCTCTGGCTGCGTGGCAGCTAGGGTGACCAGATAGCAAATGTGAAAAATCGGGACGGGGTGGGGGGTGATAGGTGCCCATATAAGAAAAAGTCCCAAATATCAGGACTGTCCCTATAAAATCGGGACATCTGGTCACCCTAGTGGCAGCAGGCCTCAGGCTCCGGTGGCAGGCTTCGGGCTCCGTCCCTGGATCCCATCCTCCGGTGGCAGGCTTTGGGCTCTGACAGCAGGGCTTCAGGCTCCAGCCCCCCGCTGCCTGCCCCAGCTCTCCACCCCCAGCTCCGTTGACCCCCACTGCCTCCCCCCGACCCTCCCTCCAGGGCTTAATTTGTCCCCAAGGCTTGCCAGGGCTGAGTAAGTCTGTTGTGAAAAGTGATACTTGTATGTTTGTAAATATCTCTTTTCACAACAGACTTACTAGCTAGCAGTAAATAAATTACAATGATTTGAACATGTATATGTGCATATTTATTTGGTTTTCCTAAAGCTAATTAAGTATTTTCGGAAAAATTTGTCCTGAGAACCCCTGCTCTAAGTGATGATTATGATGGCGTTGAGGGAAAATTGGAGGATCTTTATACCAGAGGCAACTATGGAGCAGAAAGCTTAACAGTAAAGGAGAGTCTACATATGAGCAGGGCCGGCTCCAGCTTTTCTGCCGCCCCAAGTGAGCAAAAAAAAAAAAAAAGACCAGCGGCGGCACTTCAGCGGCAGCTCAATCGCGCTGCTTCTTCCGCAGCAATTCGGCGGCGGGTCCTCCCTCTCTTCCTCTTCGGCGGCAGCTCAAAGAGGAAAAGAGGGAATGAGGGACCCGCCGCCGAATTCCCACTGAAGACCCGGACGTGCCGCCCCGATACCGGACGGAGTGCCGCCCCTTTGAATTGGCCGCCCCAAACACCAGTTTCCTACGCTGGTGCCTGGAGCCGGCCCTGCATATGAGGATGTCTGAGGAAAGACTTCAGAAGTCAGAGGGGCAGGAATGGTAAAATGAGTGCTATACATAGTCATGTGGAAAAGAAAGCTTTAAGAAACGCAGTCTATCAACTAGAATATTAGGGTCCAGACTAGAAAGAGAGGTTACTCACTGTATGCAGTAGCTGTGCACCTTTCATGGGAGATTTTCATTAGCAGTGTCTGTTGGCCCTCGCATGCACTGTTAATAACTTGTGCCCTGCACCGAGGTTATATCAGGCTGTGTGGGCAAACTGCCCTCAGTTCCTTCTCCACTGCTGAGTCTCAGAAGGAAACTCTGAAGCAGAGGGGAAGGACGACGCGTAGTGGAGCACCCCTAGGTAAGGCTGCGATTCTTTCACAGAGGTCACGAAAGTCATGGATTCCGTGACTTCTGAAGTGGCTGGTGCAGCTGACTTCAAGCCGCCTGATCAACGGGCCCAAAAGCCAAATGCTCAGGCACCCCACGGCTAGCCACACTGGCCACTGCTGGAGCGACCCAGGGCCAGCCGCACCGGCCACTGCTCGGGAGGCCCCCGGCAGCTGGCTCCGGGGACCGCTCGAGCTGCGGTCCTGGGGAATACCCCAGGGCCAGCCGCACTGGCTGCTGCTCAGGCTGTCCCAGGCAGCGGGCTACAGTGGCACTGTCACACTCCAATGGCCCCCTTCCTCAGAGAGTCCCCGGGGAAGGCAGATCAGCACTGTATGTGGCTAACGCTGTTGCAAGCGGGGGGGCTGTGTGCGGCCCCAGACCTCCGGAGAGGGAGCGGGGGCGGGGAGGGGGGGCCTGGCCCCAGGCCTCGGAGGGGGGGGGGGGGGCTGGCCCCGGGCCTCCGGGGGGGATGGGGGCTGGCCACTTCCTGTGGGAAGTGGAGTGACTCGGCCCCAGCCTGCTCTGCTCCCCTGGCTCCCAGACTTGGGGGGAGGGGAGAACCGCCCCCCAGCACTCGCCGGCGGTGCGGCTTGGAGCCAGGGGAGCGGAGCAGGCTTGGGCCGGTTTGCTCTACTTACCGGTGAGTGCAAGCCCGACTGCTTGTGGAGTCCTCAGAGGAGTGGTGGCAGGACTGCGGCAGGGAAGGGGCGGGGGCGGGGCAGGGGCCCCGGGGAAGAGCCAGAGCAGGGGCTGTGCCCCAAATTTCCTGGTTCCCTACGCAGCTGCATACTTTGCGTATGGGTAAGGACGGCTCTGGGGTAGACTTAGGCTGGTGGTGTTTGCCCCAATCATTCACCACATCAACCACTAGAGAGTCAGGTGGAACGTGAGAAAATAGGAACTCAGTCATTAGTGTGAACATAATACTTTTTAGTGACTCTTTTTCACATGGGTGTTACTGTAGCAGAGGTTTGTCAACTGATTTTTGCAGGTCCCAGCAGAGCCTCGTTGATAGGAAGGGCAACTCTGGATGGTGTTGCAGAGTGAAGAATATACAACAGCTCTGACCTCCTGAAGAGGTATATGTAAGGGAGTCTGCCACATATTTAATGAGGTCTTGAGGCTGCCGTAGCCATAGATGGAGAAGGAGTGATTACTGCCTCATCTGGTGAAAAAGAAGAGATGGTAGTTGTAGGGGGTTGCTTCTTTGTCCACTTAAGTCTCTTGAGCCTTGAACATTTTCTGCTGCTGCTGGGGAGGAGAATCTTGAGTCTCCCTATCATCCTGATGGAATAGGGTCAGGGCCCTGGAGAAAGGAAAGTTATCTGTTCCGAAACTGGCGTTCTTCGAGATGTGTTGCTCCTGTCTATTCCACAGTAGGTGTGCGTGCTCGCCACGTGCACCGGTGCCGAAAGTTTTTCCCTTAGCAGCATCCGTAGTGGGGGAGCACCGCTGCGACCCCTGGAGTGGCGCTGACATATCGCGCCATAAAGGGGGCTGCGTGCTCCCCCCACCCTCAGTTCCTTCTTGCCAGACAACTCCGACAGAGGGGAAGGAGGGTGGGATGTGGAATAGACAGGAGCAACACATCTCGAAGAACGCCAGTTACGGAACAGGTAACTGTCCTTTCTTCTTTGAGTGATTGCTCCTGTGTATTCCACAGTAGGTGACTCCAAGCTATACCTGACGGAGGTGGGTAGAAGTTCTAAATGATAAAGGTTAAGGGTTACCCGGGCGGAGCACCGCCCTACCTAACCCGGCGTTGTCCCTTGTTTGGGAGACGATTGCATAGTGTGATGGAAAAGTATGGACAGAGGACCATGTAGCAGTCCTGCAGATGTCCTGAATAGGGACATGAGCCACATAGGCCGCTGACGAGGCCTGGGCTCTTGTCAAATGCGCCTTAACAATAGGAGGCGGGGGAACCCCTGCCAGGTCGTAGCAGGTGCGAATGCACGAGGTGATCCAGTGGCAGATCCGCTGGGTGGAAACGAATTGCCCCCTCATGCGCTCGGCCGTAGCAACGAAAAGCTGAGGGGATTTCCGGAATGGCCTTGTTCGATCTAAGTAAAAGGCCAGCACCCTACGCACATCTAGCATGTGTAGGCATCGTTCCTCATTGGAGGAATGGGGCTTAGGACACAGGACTGGCAGGAAAATGTCCTGGTCCATATGAAACGCCGAGACCACCTTCGGCAGGAAGGCCAGGTGCGGGCGAAGCTGCACCTTCCCCTTATGGAAGACAGTGTACGGGGGATACGAGGTCAGTGTCCTAAGCTCCGAAACCCTGCGGGCTGAGGTGATAGGCACCAAAAACGCCACTTTCTCAGATAAGTGGGACCAGGAGCAAGTGGCCAAGGGCTCAAAGGGAGGTCCCGTAAGGTGTGACAGCACCAGGTTCAGGTCCCAAGGACGAACCGGGGGTCTAGCATAAGGGAATGCTCTGTCCAACCCCTTTAAAAACCTGGAAGTCATGTGGTGGGAGAACACTGACTGTCCCGCCACCGGAGGGTGGAAGGCCGAAATGGCCGCCAGGTGCACCCTGATCGAGGAGGGAGCCAGCCCTTGGGTCCTAAGGGACAGGAGGTAGTCCAGGACCCAGCTGGAGCGGAGCGGACGCAGGGGAGGAACCTCTCTCCCTTACCCATGAGGAGAACTGATACCACTTAGCCAGGTAGGCCCTCCGTGTGAACGGCTTCCTGCTTTCAAGCAGGACCCGTCTAACAGCCTCGCTACACCTCCCCTCCTCCACATCTAGCCACGCTGTCAGGTGGAGCAGGGCCAGGTTGGGATGGAGGAGACGACCTCCCTCCTGGGAGAGGAGGTCCGGGCGCAGCGGCAGCCTGCAAGGGGGGGCCGCCAAGAGTTGCAGTAAGGTCCCGTACCAATGTTGACGGGCCCAATCCGGGACTATCAGGATAATTCTCGCCCCGTCTGACTTCATCTTCTGTAGGACCCTGCCTATGAGGGGGAAGGGCGTGAAGGCGTACATCGGGGCCCCGACCAATTGAGCAGGAACGAGTCCGTCATGGCCCCATCGCCTTCTATCACCCTGGAGCAGAACCTGGGACACAGGCGGTTCTGGGTGGTGGCGAATAGGTCCACCTGGGGAGTGCCCCACTGAAGGAAAATCCATTCTGCCACCTCCCTGTGCAGGGACCAC